CTGGAACTCATTATGTAGACCAGGCTGGCCTTGAACTCACAAAGATCTGCCTACCTCTGCCTCCCAAGTGCTGGGATTAAACGCATACACTCATACACATAAAATAAAAATAATAAAATATTTTTAAAAATTTTATTGAAGTTTTGTGTATTTTATACAGAAACTCATCTTTATACTCCCTTCTCCTTTGGCACCCTCCCATAGCCCGCCCACCAAGAGTTAATACCTTCTGTCATTTGTGTTAAGGCCTATCATGCAAACTTAGTGTTCCCAGATGTCCCTTAGTGCAAGGTCATCCACTGGGATCTAATCAGTCTATCGAGAGTCCCTCTCTTCAAGAAGGTCAGCTCTTCCTCACCCAGTAGTATTCAGCTGCTAATAATTCTTCCAGATTGGCGAAATGAAATGCTGTTCATTTCCACAGTTCTGTGCTGGGTTTTTGTCTGCTTAAGTTTGCATGGGTCTTGTGCATGCTGACACCATCGCTGTAGGTTTGTATGAGTCCCAGGAGCCTATAGTACTATTTCCATATAGTCATTCACCTCCTCCCTGGGTCTTACAATCTTTATCCCCCCTCTTCTGCAATGATCCCTCAGCCCTGGGTAGGTGGATTTTAGTATAGGAGCTCTGTCCAAAGACTTACACAATGCAGACTCTTACCCTCTGAGTTTTGGCCATTTGTGACCTTTTGCATTACTGGCCCTCTGTTGAATGAGGAAGCATTATTGATAAGCATTGAAACATGCACTAGTGTTCTCTTCTTCCTTTGTTCTACGTTCCAAGAGCCTTAGGTGTAGAGGTCGCATCTTAGATGTGCCACTCAGGCTTGGGCAAGCTCTGTGTATGACCAGTTGTGGAACTCTGTAGCTATCACTGTTTCTTGAAAAAGAAGTTTCTTTGATGGGTGGTGAATGGGATACTGTCTATGGATTTAAGGATCCATATTACATTTGTCTAGGGATGTGGCACCCTTGGAGTTTTCTCTAAGATCTATGACCTCTCCAGCTATGTGTATTTCACTAGGTTTATAGTGCCACAGATGAATTTCCTCCTATTGAGTGGGCTTTAAGTCAATTAAGTAGCTGTTGATTACCCCCAAGATAAAAGTGCCACTACTGTACCAATGTCATTTGCTGTGCTGGTTATTGATGTGGTTTTTAGGTCTTGAAACTGGGGTTGGACCATCAACTGATAGTCTCCCTTAGCAGCTTGTGTGGTACTCTCCAAAGCTATGAGAGCTAGCCTTCAGGAGAGGTGGCTTCCAGGTCAGTTCCAGCTCGGTTGCTCAAAATCCTGTGTCCGAAGTGTGTCCTGTCTTCAGCAATAGGTTCTTATCATCAAGTTCTGGGAGGTAATCATGGAATGTGGCAATAACCTGTGTAATTTTGGTAGTATCTTGGATTACCCTGGCCAACAACTCAAAGGAAGGTTTCTCCTGTCTGGCACTGTTTCTTGTTATGTAGCCTTTAGCTATACTCAAGGACTCATGTAGAAATATTGTATGTAATTTTTCAGTAGGTTTTTGGACTAATACCATTCCCTCTGTTTTTTTTAACACTAGATATGTACTATTTATCTCTCCTCATAGTACATTTTTAAGATTTATTTGTATTTTATGTGTATGAGTGTTTTGCCTCCATGTAAGCATACCATGTGCATGCAGTTTCCAAATAAGACAGAAGAGGACGTTGGATAGCCAGAACTGGCATTAAAGTTTGTTGTTAGTTACCATGTGAGTGCTAGGAATCAAACCCAGGTTCTTTGAAAGAACAGCAAGTGCTCATAACTGCTGAGCCATCTCTCTAGTCCCTTATAATTTTTTTTTGTCAGTGTTTTTTTGCGATGGATTCCAAGAAGTGGGATTGTTGGGTGAAAGGGGAACTGTGCAGGATATCAACCATTTCTTGTCTTATAGGGTGGTGCAGTTTTATATTCTCATTGTTAAAATGACATGGGAGTGCTTGCTTACAACCTCACCAAAGCAGTATGTAGTCAAAACTTTGGATTTTTGCCGATCTGAAGAAATCATACTACACTTTACTTTTAATTTATATTGTTACAATGAATAAGGTTGAACACTTTTCATATGTTTGCATACATTTTTCTCAGTACCATCTTGACAGTTAAAAGAACACATGCAATGTGTTTCAATCTTTTATAGTCTTTTTAAAATGTTTAAGTACTGTCTTTGTGACCTGGGGATGTAGCTTAGTTGGAAGAGTGCTTGCCAAGCATGCACAAAGTCCCAAGTTCACTCTCTAGTATGGCAAAGATTGAAAGTTGGGATTTATACCTGTGATTCCAGCTCTCTGCAGACAGGAGGATAAAAAGTTCAAGGTCGAGGATGAAGTCAGCCTGGGGTATAGGAGACACTGTGCCAAAAAAAAAAAAAAAAAAAAAAAAAAAAAAAAGAAAAAAGAAAAAGAAAAAAAGAAAAGAAAAAGAAAAAGGAAAAAAAAGTATTGTCTTTGGCCAGTGGAAGCCTCTTTAGTTTTTCTCATTTCCTTTTACCATGACCTTAATATCCTTTAACTTTTCCTCTGAAGTAATTTTTTTGGTGCACATTTGTTTTATTGGAACAACAACTTGTATACATTGAATGTTTAAAACAGAGCATCACTGTCTTTCCTTTCCAGTGAAAACAAAAATTTAAAAATAAACAAAATTACAATAGAGAATGTCAATTCCAAATAAAATCCTACAGTGTCTGCTGATTCTCCCATTGAGTGTCAGGGCTCCATTAGGAGAGTAATTTATCTTAGAAGTGTCATCTTAACCTGTAAGGATGTCCATTAAACATCACAATTAATATGCTAAAGGAGAAGCCCTGTTGTCAAAATGCCCACTTAACCCACTCAAACGGCTCAAACTCACCCTTTGCCCATCTTCTATACCCATTTTTTTTGTCTTTTTGAGACAGGGTCTCCTTGTAGCCCCAGCTGTCCTGGAACTCACTATGTAGACCAGGCTGGCCTCAAACTCACAAAGATCTGCCTACCTCTGCCTCTCAAGTGCTGGGATTAAAGGCGTGTGCTACCATGCCTGGCTTATACCTATTTTTAAAAAACATTTTTTCTTTTTTTTTTTTTAAACATGCATGTAGGCAGCCAAAGTGAGGCAAAGGAAACATGCTTACCTTGCTCCCCAAAGACTTTAAGCATGCCAAGCTTTCTTCTGAGTTGCTACATTCTTGAGATGGGCTTACTTGGTCCCTGGGAGAAGGAATCACCTTGGACCCATTTTTTAAACTTCAAAAAAGAGTTTTGAAGAGAAAGTAGACAGATGCTTTTTGGTAAATGCTAACTGGCCATAATCACATAGAGACAAGTATAAACTCTGAGCCCAATATACAGAGAAAGGAGGAAAAAAGCTAGAATTCTATGCATTACTACACAGGGGCCCAATACCCCCGGCTTCCAGCAGAACCAAGGGGGCAGAGGTTATTTCTTTTTTCCCACAGAGCAGTGGTGGTGTTGATTCCACAGTTTTTTAGACAATAGAGGATCAAAATGAATTTAGAACAGAAGAGTGGAGATTCTTTTCCTACTGTGTTCTGCTTAAGGTTACTTACCCCAAATATGTTGAGAACCATAGTGTTGAGAAAAGAGACCTCAAAAACAGGGTGAGGGTGACTGAGCACAAGAGGGTGGGTGGGGGAAGAGGGAAGACTGCAGGGACTGGACTGCTCCCAGGGGCTGGAGAAAATTAAAAAATAAAAATAAAAATTTAAAAGAAGGAAAGTAGGTTGGAATCCATCAGTGTTCATTCTTTTGTATTATTCATCTTCTTCGTCCTTCTCTCCTTCATCCTCCCCTCCCTCCTCTCCTTCAACATCATCTTCATCTTCTTCACCTCCGTCCTCATCTCGTTCATTAATATCTTCTTATCCTCCTCCTCCTCCATCACCATCACCATCATCATCATCATCATCATCCCCTTCTTCTTCATTATCCGTATTGGAAACCAAGTAGTACTATAAGGGATTTGGTCACATACCTAATCCTTGATCACCTCTCCTAACTCATCTGCACCTGCGTCAGAATGGTCAGCAAACCAGGTGAAGAAGCTCTCTGGTTCTTCCTGCTGCTCTTCACGCTGGTTTTATTCTGCATTTGACTTGAGTGTTGCATCAAATCGTTTCCAGATTTCCATTTGATTTCACTAACTTTGAAGATGGATCACCACTCTCATTCAGATGAAATTCTTTGGAGAGAACTTTATTTTCAAAGTAAGGATTTTCATCAAAATAAAAATCTATTCTGTAGCCTGATCTTATATTTTCAATTTCCGTCACTTCAACTCTAGTCAAATAATGCAGTGCCTCTTCATCCTCTTCCCCAAGCAGTGCAGACATTTGTGGATGGTTGGCAAATGTTGTTACCCCCAAATTTGTGATTTTGGCAATCGGTTTTTACCTCTTCTGAAAAAACTGGTTGGCGGAGTTTGTTATATTTCTGTTTTACTTTCTGTTTTGATTTCTTCACTGGCTTGCTCGCTAAGCCTGTCTATTTCATTTTGTACTTCCATCACTATGTTCGAGTGCATCTCGCTGTTCTTTTTCTCCCTTCAGCAAGCTGGGAGAGGCCGATGTGTCAGCCAGCTTTCTTGAGCTGAGGCAAGAGTGCTGATTGCAGTTTCAGGGCCATGCGGGGAAGGAAGTCCAAAAAGCAGAGCCCACAGTACTGATGCTCTCAGCATCAAGAAACTCGCGTAGTACTCTGAAATAGCTTTTGACAACATCTTTGCTAAATTGTATAACAAGATGTTTTAAAATTATTTTGCACATTACATGTCCCAGAACCGGCATCAACCATTTCCCCAAAGTGTTTGTAGAACAATAACCCCACATCTACAAAATCTCATATCCACACTTATCACTGCCTGGCATTATTTACATGGTATTTCATCTTTTTTTATCTGTTTCTTCCTTTTGTAATCTGAGATCATAGATCCTTGCTGTATGAAGGGCAAGGACTTTGTTTTCTTCGATAATGTGTGCTAAACACAGAACAGAGTTTGGTACACTGGCATGGTCAATTTATCCGAGGTTGTGATTTGTAACCCCCTGCACAAGGGGAGTAGTAGTCTTTCAGAGACTGAGTCCTAATCATCAGTCACATTCCCATGTACTGAATGACCGGTCAGTTACAGGCAATATTCTGGTCATATGACAATGTTTCATTAGCATGGAAGCTCAGATTAGCTAGGACTGTGTTTCCTGTCCAAGCAATCTGACTGGGAATTGACCAACTTCTATCCAGACTATATATAGGCAGGACTGATTACTCCCCAGTGTTGAACTCGAATTAACCCAAAGGGGTCTAGTGAACAACTGGAATGTAAGGAAACTGGGATTGTTTTCTTTGCAAGAAAATGTTACATAACTGTGTGTACAATTTATTTCGTACCTACATTTGCATATGGTATGATAGTGGTTATACGCAGGTTATGTCAAAGTTATGTCTTTTAAACATTTTAATATTTACTTTTAGTGTGTGTGTATGTGCACACACTATTCATGTGGAGGCTGGAGGACAACTTTATGGAGTCAGGTCTCTCTTTACACTTTTACATGGGTTCTAGGGATTTAATACAGGCTGTCAGGCTATCTCACCAGCTTCTAAAGTATGTCTTTTATGTGAGAGAGAAAGCAAGCTTTTCAAGGACTTACCATTATTGAAATCTTATTGGGTGCCACACATTCTCTGTAGATTTGCTCATTATGTTTTTCCTTACAGTCACCTAGAAGATAAAGGACAAGAAAGCACATTTTAAAAACAGGAAATCAAATAAAGATTTTCTATTCTTTTCTGAAGCCCAGAAGTAATTAATCTTGGAACACTGAAGTATCACCAGATACTATCTGCACAGGATTTCCTGTTTATTTCTTACACTGTTATTGAAAAAGACCTGTATGGCCTGCCATAAATTATACCAATCCCTGAGGTGAGCTTTTCAAAACAGAGTTTATTCACAGGACAGTCAAGGATGAAAGAGGAGATACATTTCTCAAATCTGCCCCCCTGAGGATAGGGTTTGAGGAATTTTATGGGAAAAAATGAGACCGATTTAAGGTGTGGGGAAAAGTAATTGGAAGTAACCAGTGGTCTGAGCATGTGTAATCAGTTTTCATGATACTTCATGGGACTTATGTTCAGGGAGCTGCAGAGTTAGTATGATCTGAGGTTGGAGATTTTAGATTTTTGACACCAAAGGTCATCAGTCCAACACTTGGACAGATTCAAGTGAAATATCAGTGATTTCTATAAACGTGATATAAAAGTAAACTAGGCAACTGTTATTACCATAATCCATGCATCAGCTCTTAGAATTAGTGATTTTTAAAACTTATGTTCAGGGAGCTGCAGAGTTAGTATGATCTGAGGTTGGAGATTTTAGATTTTTGACACCAAAGGTCATCAGTCCAACACTTGGACAGATTCAAGTGAAATATCAGTGATTTCTATAAACGTGATATAAAAGTAAACTAGGCAACTGTTATTACCATAATCCATGCATCAGCTCTTAGAATTAGTGATTTTTAAAAACATTTATTTATTCTCTCTCTCTCTCTCTCTCTCTCTCTCTCTCTCTCTCTCTCTCTCTCTCTCTTTCTCCGTCTTGATGTTCTCTCGC